GTGTGTGTATATCTGTGTATTTGTGTACGTGATGAAACAACAAACCAATGTGCCTGGATTTGGACAATAAAGATGTATCTTATCTTATCTTACCTTATCTTATGATGCGATTTGAAAATCGTATCAAATTTTGTTGTTGATATTTTGTGAATAATTTTGATATACTTTTCAAGAGAGCCATGATTCCAAGGACGTAACAGTAGATCAAAATAGTCAGAAGAAAAAATATACATCTGCTGTGCTACCATTGTTGGGTTGTTCCCAGAGAAAAACCATTGGAATCTAACGAGCACAGTACCAGGGAACAACCTTGAAGAGGAAACTTCTGTTAGTTTGAATCACATTAAAATTGTTTGCGGTTCTAATTGGGGTTGTTGTGAAACAGCTGAAAAGCCTTTAAGTCATTATTCTATAAAAGTTGCTGTACTTGTTAAATATCTGTGTACTAATGCAAAATTTGAGTTGTTTTATATTTCACCTCGTGTATTCTCTTTGTTTTGGTGCAAATGGATATTATCATAATTGTAGTTTAGAAATAAACTAAAACAGACATTTTCTGAGACATCTACACTTTTACATCTTGATAGTCTCACCCAATTCAAAAGTGCTTTCAGTGTACCACTTTGAACTAGATTTTTTAATTATATGACAGAATTTTAGAGAGGAAAAAAGTTATGGAGCCTAAGTTAACTAAGATTTAGGTCGTGCAAGACCTGAAAAACGCAAAGCGAAAAGGACTTAGATCAGAGCTCTAGCATAACCATAACAAACTAGATTTATGCAAACTAGTAGAGGGCAGGACTGTAATCCGTTTGGAAGTTGGAACTTTTGAGTATCAAAGACTGCTCATTTGTGCGTGGACAGCATGACGTGAGATGGGTACAGAAACTAATGCCAATTAAAAACACAATTCTGTGATTGTGGTGAAACTCAGTGGTACGTTTTTATTTACCATGTAAATTGTAACAGAAGGCTACTTACTCGGTCCCAAGGCGTAGAAAGCAATGATCATGAGAGAGACGACAACGTTGACATATTTGAGGGCGTCCACCTCGTCCTGAGAACAAATAAAAAGGTGTAAAAATATATATCCTTTTAAGTGTTGTTGGTTGGTAGCAATTAATAATCAATATATTTCTACTATTGCCCCCACCCCCTCCTGGACCCCGTCGCATGCCTTTAAGTACTATAATAAATTAAAAAAACATTTAGACAGACAAATAAAGCAACTTAGTCTCTGTTTTCTTTCTTACAAGTTTCAACTGTGTCTCACCACTTCTACCCTTTTCCAAAGAGCCCGCATAACGATTTGATATTCTTAATATTCTTATTATTTTATTGCCTTGTAACCCCCCCCCCTTCCTCTTTACCGCTCTTTTTACAACTAAACGTAAACAATAGGTGGTTGGGGAACGTAAACAGATATGATTTCTGACCTTGAAGACCATAGTGAGCGCCAGCACAGCGGAGCAGACTCCCATGCCAAAGGTTCCCATCTGGAAGAGCGTCTTGCGGCCAAAGTGAGGCATCAGGAAGGAGGCGATGATGTTCCCCAGGAAGAACACAGCGCCTGTACCAGAGGTAGCGTACCTGGAGAAACATACGATTCTTTGAAAGGGAAAAGTACCAAGCGTTTCAAAGGCATAGGTCTAGAGCTTTTTAGTTTTCTTATTTTTAGGAGTATTCTTGTTTTTGTCATCCCTTCTGGTATATATTTGTGGGTACTGCTGCTGTTTGGGTTTTCTTCAGGTTTACTTCTCTGTGTATCTGTTTATTTTTATGAAGATGATTTTCTTGCTGTAGCTTCAAAGAAAACATAACATGATAACAACATTTTTTAATAATCGAAAAAAAAACAACCTCATTGCTTGTTTAGAGGACGTGCAATAAGCTAATGAGAAGATCTATTAAGATTGTGGTAGAAAAAGCGAACAAGTAGGTTAGTGGGCAGATTACCTTGCAGCTTTCCCCTCCACGCCGGCATCCTCAAACAGTTCATTGGAGAAAAACATGATCTGTGGGGAGCAACAGAAGGAAGTGTAATCGCAATTCCAGCTTCACAGCATGAAGCTCATGTTGTCATTAATAATTTATTATGTATATCAACACATCGGAGACAAGATTTAGTGTATTACCCTAACATGAATAGGTTAATGTCTTTTTACTCTAAAGATCGATCCATTGTAAAGTTTTCTTACGTACTAATCAACCCAGTGTAGATCATTAAGGAGGTACTGTACTTCTTCGACCCTGATTTCAAGGCCAATCCGGGCTAAGACTGAGGGCGACGGCATCCCAGAAGAACAAAAAAAAAACCCAACAAAAAAACAACCCGTCCACACCTGTCTTCTTTCGAATGCTGCGGTGAAGAACACGCTACCACACCCTAGAGATACCATAAGGTACCAATTTCGTCAACACATTAAACTGGGTTTCTTGTTAAAGTGGAATGTTTTTATCTTGTGTGAATGTAGTATTGCGCTCAGTGGGCAGGTCATCGATATAAAACGCCCGGAGCTTATATTATGTTTATATGGGATAGAACGCTAATCAAATGCAATCTGCTATTATTATTGTTATTATTATTATTAT